CAAAAAGTAGCACTGAATTATTATATGACCCAGTAATTCCACTTCTAGGGATACACCTAAGAGAATTAAAAACTTATTTTCAGGGTGTGGGGGATTGGGCAAAATGAGTGAAGGGGAGAGGGAGATACAGGGCTCCAGTTATGGAATGAGTAAATCTTGGCAATAAAAGAGCATAAGGAATACAGTCAGTGATGTGTCATAGCCATGTAATAGGCCAGGTGGTAGCTACACCTGTGGTGAGCACAGCATAATGTATAAATCTGTCAAATCACTAAATTGTACACCTGAAACTAAGGTAACATTGTGAGTCAACTATACTCAAAAAAAAAAAAACAAAAAAAAATTTTCACACACACACAAACAAGTATAGGAGTGTTCATAGCAGCACCTATTCATAATAATCAAAAAGTGGGAGCAACCCAAATGCCCATCAATTGATGAATGAATACACAGCATGTGGTATATCCACATAGTGCAATATTACCCTGCATAAAAGGGAATATTACCCTGCATAAAAGGGAATGAAGTATCATTACATGCTACGACTTGGATGAACCTAGGAAAAAATTATGCTAAATGAAAGAAGTCACAAGAGGCCATATCTTAGATTATGATATGAAATGTCCAGAGTCGGCAAATCTAATAGAGACCGAAAGTAGAATCAGCACTGGGTTTCTTTTGGGGAGTGATGAAATGCTCTGAATTCGAGACTGGTGATGGTTGCACAACATTGTAAATGCACTTAAAAACACTGAATCGTATAAAATGACTGAAATGGTAAATTTAATGTTATTTGGATTCTATCTCATTAAAACTACATATAATCACAAACTACACATCATTATATATATGTGACATAATATACTGACATCGACAAGAACTCGACACTAGATCTATTAGAGGATTTACAATACTGTTCCTAGTCACGGGTACAACACACAAGGCCTGGATCACTAAAGCAAATAGTAAAAACTGAAGAACTGAAGCTAAGAATTACTCCTATTATCCAATTATTAATTTATTTACTGATGCTTAATCGGTGCCAGGAACTGTGTTGGGGGTGAACAAGACATGATCCTCACCTTCATAGGGCTCCTAGTCTAGCAGGGGAGCCAAACATTAAACACTCAAATCTAAAACTTGTAACAAGGAGCATAAGGTGAAATATTGCATTTGGTGATACAATATAACAGGCAAACCTGACTCAGAGGAGGAACTGGGCAATAACCACTCTGAGGAAATTCTATCTAGTCTGTAACTAGAGAGATGAGTTCTAGCCAGGTGAAGAGTGAGAATAAGAGCATCCCCTAGATGGAATAGCAGTGCAGACGTCCTGAGGCAGAAAAGAACTCACATTTGAGAAACCCACAAAGGCTAGTTGTGACCAGAGGGTAGTGAATAAGAAAACGATTGTCACAGAATGAGGCTGGGGAAGTGAGGAGGGGGTCAGTCTACACAGGGCCTTATGGGTCACTCTGAGCATCCTCATTTTATACACTGGGTACAAAGGGAAGCCACCCAGGGTGGCTCAGTCGGTTAAGCATCTGACTCCTGATTTCGGCTCAAGTCATGATCTCAGGGCTGTGAGATAGAGCCCTCTGTCAGGCTCCGCACTCAGCACGGAGTCTGCCTGAAATGCTCTCCTTCTCTCCCTCTGTCCCCCACCCCGCACTCACATTCTCTAAAATAAACAAATCTTTAAAAAGAGACAAAAACGAAGGGAAGCCACCCAAGAATTTCAGCGAGCAAGTAACATGACCAACTTGTGCCATCAAAAGCATCCCAGGCTCCCTCTGTGCAGAAGGGGTTAGAGAAGAGCAGAGGACAGTTACCAGTGAGTAGGCTATTCCAGTTAATGGCTCAGACCAGGAGGAAGAGGTGGAAAGAGAAGACATTTTCAAGGTCAGTTTTGCAGTTTGGGAGGTCTTCACATATTTTATTTTACAACTAAAATTTACTGATGTGGGGGGAATAAAACAGTTTCCCAGAAAGATCAAAGCATAAAAAGTAGAGATTATTTAGCCAGGATCTTAGACACACTAGCTTCAGTCCAGTACAAAACCAAATCCTACAAAACACTTCAAGCTATGTCCAGGAGTCCTGCAGCCTTTTCATATAACTGAACCCAAATTATCCCTAAGCTTCTTGCAGGGTATTTTCTTACTAGCAAGCTTTCAGACTGGTTAAAAAAAAAAAAAAATCCAGACAGTGAAGTAAAAACCCAGAAGTTCACTGTGATGAGTGCAGGTAATGCTTGGTGTCCTCACTTTGACCCAACTGCAAACTAGCTTGTCCTTAGAACATTTTTTTTTTTCTATAAAGGAACCATTCTGGGAGAGAAACACCCTGCTTAACATATGCTCTGTTAAAGGCTTCAGTTAAACATGCACACACACACAGAAAGAAATATGTGCAAAGTATTCCAGATTATTCATGTGCATCTGTCTCCTTAAACTGCACTCCAGAGACTGAAGAAGAACAGAGGCTGTGATGGATATCAAGCAGCTTATAAAGAGTAAATGAATGACTTTCATTGTAGTAGCAAAGCAACTGTACATTATACACACATACATGCATGCACTTCTTTTCCTCTTAAAAGCCTGCTATCTACATGGTAAATATCACTTCAAACACACAGATCAGAAAACCGAAATTTGCGAATATCCTTATATCCTTTCTTATAGCCCAAGACATGAATCCTGAAATTGAAGGCAAACTAGCTATCCAGCTCCCCCAGAGCATACTGGAAGCAAATAATAAAGATGAATATAACCATTACTAATGACATACTTTGCAACACATACTCTGTAAGTAGCCATGTTCTATTTTTCATTTATACTGTGAAAATTAGTTTTGCATTTAAAAATGCAAAATGGAGAGAGATGTTGTTTAGCCTCAAGCGATCATTTCATCATTTCCGTCTTTATCACTCCTAAGGTTTCAGCCTCTTTGAGGTTTTCATCTTACATCATATGGACACAATTGCATGACAGCTATTTCAAGTGCTCCTGGTCCTCCTTGACTCCTTACATGTTAAGACTCCGCTCTTCTTTAAGAAGACTTCACTCACCCTTAATAGTTGAGCTCATTCTCATCCATTCTCTTGTATATATCTCTGTCCAGACTTACAACTGTCCCCCCTTCCAGACAAGGAGTTCCCTATGTTTCATGCTCCCAGGACCTAACAGAGCCTCACACATGAAAGGTTCTCAAAGGCTTGAGATGAAATGGATGAGTAAATGAATCTGCTCCACCCAATCTCTAGATTTAATTTTTTCTACCTGTGTTATCCTAAATGTTAATGACCCTCAATTCAATGACATTTCAGATGATTCTCCATTTTCCCCCATTTTTTTCCATTTCCTGATAGAAGAGGATTTCTGATTTGAGGTACTACACTGCGTAGAGAGTGTTCATGAAAACCAATTATAAGTAGAATATTGTTTGCTGTTCAGGTTTACACACGTGGCTTTGTACAGAGTTTGAACACAAATTAGAAAAGGCCTTTAATCCCCAAATTCATATTCTATGGTGCCATGTCACTCTATCACTCTTGCTATTGACATTCACAACAGATATTTTTATAAAGGGCCCCCTTCATCATGACAAAGAAAAAATGCCCTTGGCAAGGACGAAGGGAGTCCATGAGTTAAATTTGTCATTCCGGAATAAATTATTTAGCACGACTTAAATCCTGAAAGCTCTGAGCCACCTACCTTGTGGTTTATGGTGCTCTCTTCTATGTTTACAATTTCCCAATAGTAAAGCAACAATTTAATTCTATAGTGCAAAATCAATACAATTTAAATTTACTATTGGAATTGACACTATCTAGCAAACTAAAAGATTTATTCTTCCACTGACCTGAGATCATTGTAAAGCGGCTTCTACAATGAGGTACTTAGGAACCATTCTAGAATTTAGGAATGAATTCTTCTTACTGGATGCCCACCCCCTCCTCCCTTGCATGAAATGAGCGGGATCCCTGGGGCCGCCTAAATTCTGACCACACAGACCCAGCTTTGACTTAACTCTATCAAGGGCCTAGATTTTGAACGTGAGATCATCCCGGAAACACAAGGAGCTGTGGTGGTAGTAACGAGAGACAGCCAACTGGCTTGAAATATATTCTCATCACTAGTTTAGGGTTTTTATCAGACAGGAATTTGATCATCGTTTTCACTCTAAATTACATTACTAGTGCAACTATGAGTGGGGAAGTTTAGTGCAGCCGCCAACGATTCCAGTGTAATTTATCTGGAATGACCAGGGACCAGGCGCTTTTGTTAAGTGGCAAAAGCTGCTGCTGTTTTCAAACACACCAGTGGATGAATCTGTAAGCTGCGCCCTTCTCCTCAATGAACGAAAACTGGCGGAAAAAGCAAGAAGATGGAAGGACTGATAATAACAGTCACCCCACAGCGAACACTGATCATCTGCTCCGTGTAAGTGCACTGCAGCTGACAGCCTGAGGATGGGGTAGCTGAAGGGTGAGCCCTGTGGGTCTGAAACCCTTAGACTCAACAAGCTTCCGAGGTGCCTTTAATCCACCTGCACGTAACTCCTTCCCTTGCACCTGTCATCAGGAAGGCTTGTTTCTCTTTCAACTGCTCAGAGCAGGCAAGAGGAAACTGAAGGGGGGCTGGGGGGGCAGCAGCACCCGCAACCTAGTGCCAGGCTACAAGGGAGCGTTTATCAGCTCATCAGCAGCCCTATTACTCCACGGACGATTGGGGTTCCCTCCCGTCCCCCCCTGTCCAATGCGCACTCTCGAGGACAAGAGGTTAGATCCAGCAACAGCCACAGTTAGGCCTGTGAGACAGCGAGAGAAAGACCAGCCTCACAGCGAACCCGCAGATGCTCGAGCGCTGCCTCCTCCTCCTCCCTCGCTCGCGCGCCGGCTCGGCCAGCGCCCCGCAGGGAAGCCGGGCCTCCCGCCCGCTCAGCATCCCTCCTCCAGCTCCGGCTCTCCCTCTTCCGCCCGCGCCCGTGCCACCAACCTTGGGCGTGCGGATGTGCTCCATGGCGGGCCCGCTTCGGCAAGGCCCCGGGCGGGCGCGGCCTCACGCACCTGCGCGCGTCTGCAGCGCGGCGGGAGGGGCGCGGGGAGGGGGCTTCGCGCCCAGGAGCGGGCGGGCCACGGGGCTTGGCTCCGCCTCCAGGTGCGGCGGCGCCCGCGCGAGGCGGGCGTGCGGGCCCGGGGCGCCGGCGCGGCCCTAGAGCGCGCGCGGCTCTGCGCTCCTGCCACCTGCCCTGCGTGCGGCCGCCCAGCCCACTGCCGGCTGGGGTCGCCAAGAGCCGCCGGCTGCTCTTTAAGAGGGGCAGCCGGCGTAATACTGTGAGGCTACTGTTCCCCAAGACACAATGGGGGCCTTGTGTTGGGTGTGGCCTCTTGGAGGATGGCTGGGGAGTACGCGCAGCTCCGCACCGAGCATTGATGGGCTTCCTTCCCGAGCATCCCAGGATAGGTAGGACTTCAGGGTGGGGCGGGAAGAAGGCTGCCACTTGCACTCCCGATCTGGGACGGCCTAGTGGGCTATGTCTGTATGTTTGAGCACGTGAGCAGCTGGTACAGCATTTGGGATAAGGGTGGCAATAAGAGCAACAGTGTTAGATCCTTAGGAGGTGATCTGTTAAGTCAGGAATCTCACGTCAACCTGCCACTTAGCTGTTGCAAGACATGCCTTCCCTTGGCACCGTGTTGGGTGTTCATTTGCCATCTTCACTTAGCTCTAACTGAACGAGAAGGTAAAGATACAAAACATCCATTATAAGATAACAATTTTCTATTTATGATATTAAGAGTAGTTACTGCTATTGTTAGTATTCAGCTATTGGGAAAAAGCCAGAGAAGAAATGCCACCACTACCCCCCAACCTTTTTTTCTTGCAACCTTAAGTGCTCAACCTTCCGCTATAACTAAATTTTTTTTTTCTAGCTCTTATTCATCTCTCTAATTGGATTGTAAATTATTTAACTGTAGAGATTCTGTCTTCTAGCTCTTGTTCAATGCATGGTAAGCACATTGTAGCTTTCCAAATAAATGCTTAATCAATACAGTGTTACTGTTATTTTAAAATTTCGAGATCTTTTTCACATATCTTGTAGCATTTTACAATGCTACCCTGGGAGACAATTAAAACAAGAACATAAACTGATGTTTGCATTTGACAAAATTGACCCCAGGGTATAAGTTCTACCTTACTAAAGAACACCAGGAAGAGAGTCAGGAGCACTCTTATACCAACTCACTGGCCTCAGTCTCCTCATTTGTAAAATGGAAGTCATCTGCCTAAATGATCTTAAAGGGAGCTTCCATCTCCAAATTCCATAAGTACTAAGAATCCTATATTTACTTTGGGGTTTGCATTCTGAATGGGATAATAATCCTGGAATTATGTGACTTCAGGGCTCTTCTATCCCTCTACTGGTGGGCAAATCAAGAGTTTACTTGGTGAGTAATTTTTGCATACAGCTGACCTTCATATTAGCATAGTTTTTTTTTAAGCACCCACAACACTAACTGGTACATAAAAAGACATAAATCTGAATGATATAAATGGCCTAATTTTAAGAAACAATTTTCAGATTAGTTCAAAAATACATCTTCCATTATCATACCTATAAAACCCACATTAGGTTAAAATGAGTCAAAAAGTATGTTCAAATTATCAGGGTAAATTGGCACAGAACAAGCTATGTTCATTTATAAATTTATATTTATAAAAATTTATAAATAAAATAATAGGTAAAGAAATCTCTATAAGTAGACATTTTAGTTTGATCTAACAATTCTCTGAGGAACCCTCCCCCGCTTGTCCCTCAGCCCCAATCAGTATTCAGATTATTAGATCACACACTGTGTTGGCCCTTGCTGGCCACTCTGCACTTTCTTCTTACCGTACCTCATACCCCCAAGTTTCACCGCTTCTCTGAACACCACTCACTGGGGCAGAAGAGATTGAACAAAGCAGCAAGAGTTGGAGGGCAATGACGTGAGGAAATGTAGAGTACCTCATTGAAATGCTAACAATGTTGATCCTAAGTAGGGCAAAAAGAGAAACTAGCCTCTCCTTTATTTAAGAAACATTGACATTAATTGCACTGACATGGATGGAGCTAGAGAGTATTATGTTAAGCGAATCAGTCAGTCAGAGAAAGACAAATACCATATGATTTCACTCATATGTGGAATTAAAGAAACAAAACAGATGAGGAAAGGGACAAAAAGAGAGAGACGAGCCAAGAAACAGACTCTTAACTATAGAGTACAAACCCATGGTTACCAGAGGGGAGGTGGGTGGGGGGATGGGTGAAATAGGTGATGGGGATTAAGGAGTGCACCTGTTGTGATGAGCACCAGGTGTTGTATGGAAGTGTTGAATCACTATATTGTACACCTGAAACTAATATAACGCTATGTTAACTACCTGGAATTAAAATAAAAACTTAAAAAAAAATTGACAATAATTAACTGATGGCCACGCACAAGTTACTGTGGCAGATGCTGGGAGACTGAGAGAGGAGAAGGATACTAAGTTCCGTAATAGTGATGCAGACAACACGGAGGAAATGAAAAGTACACCAACAAAGATGGCAACAGAGCATGTGGAAATGCCAAAAGAAGTCTCAAGGAGATTGATTCACTTCCTGCATTTTCCATATTAATTATACAGAAAATAATGGGTAGACTCAGAATCATAGACTTAGTTCTTGAAGTTTGATATCTGGTGTTCTAGAACAAACCGTGGGAAATTTGGGTGAATGCTGCCTCTGTGAGTCTTCAAGAAGCAGAAATCTCTCCATCTGGCCCCAGAACCAAGAAGTGAGAAGGCGGGAAAAAAACTTACTCTTAAAACACTACATAATTTACAGATGGACGCACACCTAGATTTGTACTACATCAGCCTTTGCCCAGTGGGTTGCAAAATGGCTATTTTCTCCAGTATTTGTGAGTCCTTGATGGAAAATAAGTATATTTCCGCAAAACTCTTGTCATCATCAAGCAAAACATCAGACAGTAGGGTTAAGATCTAGTTACCTGCATATTCATCAGACTACTTCTTCTTCCCTCGCTAAGTAAGGCACAACATGGTTGTCCTCACTTTATCATTAGTGTCTCATTTTTCACTGGCTTTTACCTTGTAAAAATGGGAGATATGATTGTACCCATTAATATTTAATTATCCTGTTCTTCATGGGCAAAACAGGAGACTATACTTTTCAACTCTGTTATTGTTGGTTGGGGCCATGTGGCTATTTCTGTCCAGTGGGTTGTGAGAAGTGACATGTATCATTTTGGAGCCAAGGTTCTGCAAAACCAGAGCGAGGCCTTTCAGCTTCCTCTGCCCTTTTTTTTTTCCTTAAAGATTTATTTATTTTAGAGAGAGAGAGAGCACGCACGAGTAGGGGGCAGGGCAGAGGGAAAGGGAGAGAGAGAGAATCTCAAGCAGACTCCCCACTGAGTGTGGAGCTCTATGCAGGGCCCAATCCCATGACCCTGAGATCATGACCTGAGTTGAAATCAAGAGTCAGACACTTAACCGACTGAGCCACCCAGGCACCCCCTCTTCCCCGTCTTGATATTTGCAGATCACATCTTAAGATTATAGAAAAAATAATGATGGTAAATTCACTCTAAATATATGATGTGACTGTGACCCAAAATTATTCAGCATTAGATTGAAATGAAGGAAGAAAGAGACTGTTGGCCCAAGTCATTACTTGGAAAGCAGTAAGAGTCACAGCCGATTCTTTCAAGTTAAAAGAATGGTGGTGGTTGTTGCATGAAGCCACTGAGATTTAAGGGTTTAAGTTTTGTACCTAGACTAGCCTATCCTCACTTTACAGAGAGAGTCAACATAATATCCTGTTTCCACCTTCTGTGTTTCTGATATTTTTAAAGGGGGTTGAAGACTGTCCTTAAAGAGCTCTAAGGACATATGTCATATGCCAAGACCTAAAGCACTCTATTGTATATTACCAAACTTCAGGAGAACATCTTAAGAAATTTCTATTACATAGCTATTCTAATTATGAATAGTATTGTTACAGGAATTTTTAAACAAAAACTTGACATTAACTGGGAACTTTCCCAAAATCTTGTGATCTTCAGTGGCCTGAGGAGATTTGGATACTTATCAAGTACTTGCAAGACTTTTTTTCCGGAATACTTACATTTCTCCTGAGGCAACTAAAACTTCTGATTTGGCAGTGAAGACAAAAAAAGAAATGTTTCCTCAGGGGGTAGTATTGCTAATGATTACAAACCCAATGCCGTCCTCTTCAGCACTATCAAATCTCCATGGTCCTAGTTATATGTGGAGGAGGGCACATATTTCTGAAAAGCCCAGTCTCAGACATGTATTAGATACCCAATGTGACAGAAGCAGACCTGTAGTGGGGGTTCTGCCTGGAAAAAAACAACAAAAACATAGCATCCTTCCCTTCAGGATTTTAATACACTCGATGACGCAAAATATCGATGCCTTCTTTGGCCTCGCCTTATGCCAGTTAGAGAGTGAGCACTCCATGGATTGCAGGCAGCTCTGCCCTTTTTCTAGAAACCAAAAAGGAAACTCTAGGGCAGCATAAAAACAGCACTTACTTGGTGAACAGGCAAGGTTTTAAAATAGTCTCTTACATTTTGTTCTCCTTCCAAGAAGGCACATTGCTCAAGTCCAAGTCTGTCCTCAGACCACTTAGGACTGTGTATTGCCTTTCCACCGCCATCCCTTTGACCGTCACTTTGATGAGAATAATTCCCATATCAGTATTTCTAGGCCTCAGTTCTCTCTCTGCCTCACGTATTATGTTTCCATCCACCTGCTGAGTGTCTCCCCAGAGGTTTCACCCATGCCACAAACTAGGTGTGGTTGAGAACATGGGCTCTCGAGGTGGACAGGCCTATTTTCCTATCACAGCTCTGGCGTGTATAGGCTGTGTGACCTTAAGCCAGTTTTCTAACCACTCTGGGCCTCAGGCTTCTCAGTTGTAAGATGGGCATAATGATAAAACCCTGCCCTCAAGATACTTCAGTCTAAGGATATCAGCTATTTCATTACCTTCTACCTAATCCAAGACCCTCCTCTTGACCTCAGGATTTCTCATGTTGATCCCAATCATT